AATTCTTCTTTGCTCTGTCCTTCTGTCTCCATGATGTTCACTGTACCGTCTCGCTCTGTCCTTTCTTACCTTCACCTGGTAGTGTCTTCATTTGAGTCCAGAGAGAACTCTCCTGGCAACAGACTTCCTTTTGCCTATGCAAAGTGAGGGAAAATGATTGCTGCCAATTGAGATTTGACTGAGTGTGGCCTCACTTCATACTAACTGGAGATGGCAGCCATTCTGGATTAAATAAAACTGCACATTTGAAGGCGAGTACAGAACTTTATGAAAATCACCAAACCAATATAAGCTATTTAGGGCCCTAAATTTGGCTATCAGATTTATGTCAAAAGATCAACTTAAATACTAAATCATTTGATAACAAATTTATATGGATTTAAGCTTAATCAAGAAGTTGACAAGAAATGACTAGAAGAATAATATGAAAGTATATTAAATATTTATCTGACCATTTCAGTAATGCCTGAAAAAGAGGCCAAATAATGCAGAAGCAGTACTTTAATACAGTTCTTTTGATCTGATAACATTAAGACTATTGGAATTTTTCATTGTTTTCAACAAAGCTAAGTAACCTGGCAATACAAAACTGTTCTATTTTGGCAGAACTGCATCTTAACTGCTGTGATAGTAATATGTAAAAATAAATAACAAGATAAGTAAGGCAATTATTATCCACTTGATTCCATCTTTAAAAAAATTATGAGCCCTCAGTTAAACTAGAATAAAATAAATCTAAAGTGAGAAAAATGTTTCTACAATAAAACTCATTTTTTCAGTAACATAATACTTCATTTTAACCTTCAAGCTAGCTGTAACATTCACTTTCTGGCAAAAAGACTAGCATAGTTTGTTAGTCATAGTAGGCTTAAATTGCTTCATAATTAATTTCATAAAATAAAAATACACTCAATACAATGTTAATTGAGTTAGCTAGGCTTATTTGGGCCTTTCTTACATTTATTTCTTTGGAACTGGTCCAGGTCAAGTAATTCAGATACCAGATTGAATTAGGCTCTTGTGTTCTGATACAGCTGTTGTTATTATCTTTTAACTTCCAGTTACAAGAGTTGGATATAGAAACAAAAAATGTCTTTCTTCTAGCAGCTTGTTGATTAAAAGCTGTCTTTAATGTTCTGATTTTCTTTGGGTTTGGAGTGCTTCTCCATTTGTGAATATCATAATGACCACTCTCCTTATCTTAATAATTGATCTACAAAGCGAAGCTGTCTCATGGGAAGAAATGACAGCAAAAGTGAGGTTCCTTCCACATGAATCCTCAAATCATCTGAAAAGCAGTAACTCAGAAGTAAACAGGGACATAAAGAAGGGGTATAGAATGCCTAGAGCCAGCTCTGTGCTAGCTGGGATATTTCAACAAATGAGGTATTTTCAACTGCTGTAAGAAAGCAGTTTTCCTGCCCTTAATGATTCAGAGTAGCACAAACAGGTTAGAGCAAGTGTTGAGAAACTCTTAATTACAGCATTGATTTAAAGCAGGCAGACCATACAGTCCAACATAAACAGACTGTAGAAAGCAGAGACTTAAGTGTTTTAGCAACCCATGTTCAACTGCCTTAATTTCCTTCTCGACTTTAGTCATCTCTCACCTATAAAGCTATGCATATTTCATTATTTGAAAAATCAGCCTGCAATTTTATTAAACACTGATCATTCCACACTTCTGATTCCAACAATGTAATTTCTATGCTAGTGTTAGTATTTAGTCCTGCATGATTAGTATTATGAATAATTACCCAGAATAAATATCCAGAATAATTCATGGACCAGTACAAGAAATTCTGAAAACTTTACCCAATCTACATTAATCATAAAAATATTAATATCTCATGAGAGGAACTCCTGCCAGGCTGTGTATTAATGTGGTGGCTGGAGATGTGTGGATAGTGGGAGGGAGGTAGCTGAAATGTGGAACCATAGTGTACAGAGTAGATTGAATATTAAATAGTAAAATTTGTACCTTCATTTTTTTCCAAGGAGCTTATTTTTTGGTAGAATTTTCAGTGTAGCAGCAATAAATCAGTAATCACAGAGTGATAACTTAGAAATTGGAAGCTACTGAAATAGTACAACTTATTGACTGCTTGCTGATTTTGATTTTTTTAAATTTTTGTACTCAGCCTATTTGTGTTTGAGTTTCAGAATATTTTTAGAAATTATATTACGACAGGTGATTAGTTAATATTTTATTCAGCTAAGCAACATGATGCAATCTTGGTCCTAATAGCTGTATATTTGATAGCTGATGTGACCTTATAATGAATTTCTTAGGAGTCTGGAAGGAAGTTTGGAAATACTAGAACTATTTCTTTGTCTAGCAGTTGTTTTGAATAGGTAGGTATTTGATATAGGCTTATAAATTAAACTGTTAAAAGCTCTTATTTAGTTACTCACTTTCAGCTCAATCTGACAGATATTTATGTTCTCAGAGCTGGTGATTCAGATCGCAGCATTTTTCCCTGGTAAAAGGGAGTGTGCACGGTTGGTTTTTTTCCCCTTCCCAGCCCTCTTTCTTTCCGGGCAGGCAGCAGTGAAATGCCACCTATAGATAAGACTTCAAACCCCATGATTCCTTGCCCTGGGAGAGCATGCGCTGAAAGCTTTCAGTTGTCAAAGTGCTCTTGCCAGAGTGGTCGACTATTTGTCATATATCAAACCTGAAAGAAGAAAATAAATATACTGACATTTTGTTGCTCTTTAAATACAGAAAATCCAAAGGTAACTGTTCCTTAAAAATTTCTGTGTTGACTGCGTGGGTTACTGCATGCAAATGGAGCTGGTATTGCTATGGGGATATAGATTTCCGGTACTGGATTGTAAATTTGTGCAAATACTTACACCAGCAAATAATCAGGAGATACTGCATATTAGTCCAACATTAGACATTGGCTGGCCTATCATTCAAAGTTATTTATTATCCAGTGTTTTTCCATTCAGACTGGCTTCATTCATTAAAGGTAGGTCTTGACCTTGACAAGAGGGTTGAATTGTGCAGTGATTTTTACCTTTAAGAAGCACTATGAAAATGTATGTGGATTACAGTCCTTAGGATAAAGTTCAAAAACAACTAGCCAAGTCACGGTACCTATTTGAAGCAACTGCTGTGCTAGCCACTATAGATAACACGGTGACTAACTGATTTAAATATACTTTATTGACGACAGAATTTTAACATTTCAGCTGCTATGTTTTTCTCTCTAAATATATTTTTCTACTGATAGCTCAGAACCAGGGGAGGGATAAATATAATCTTTTTTTCTCTCTGATGTGGAATCATCAGTAATTTGATGTAGCCTTAAGAGTAATAGTGATTTTGATAGAAATGAAGCTAATGGAAAGCTACACAGAGCTTGGTATATTATGGCTTACTGCAGTATTGCTTGAAACTGCCTTGCAAGGCTTTCTGCACCCCCAGCAGCAGCAGCAGAGCCGCCTGTTATGGATGCAACTGTTTACTCCACTCTTCTTAGGAACTTGACTTAATGTTGTCTCACTGCATGGTCTGTTCCTGAACCCTTGCTGTTTGGTTTATATATTGAACAGGTAAATAGGGAGCATCAGCACTAACTTAATTGATAGCAGAAACCTGTCCTGACATTATTTTTAATTAAAAAGTGTGTGCCTAGCTCAGAAGATATTTAAAAGAAGGAAAGAAAATAAACAAAAAATGTTAAAGATACACATAGAGCAGCTGAAAACTCTTCATGTCAGAAAGGAGAGGGTCATTGGTTTCACTCTTTGCCCCTTTTCTTAAACAGTTACTTGATTTGGCTTAACTTTACCGTGTTACATTAAAACAACAATCCTAAAAGAATTATTATGTTCAAACAATTCCTAAAAGAATAATTGCAATCTTAGCAATGTACATGTCATACGATTAACTCAATAGAAATACAACTAGGAAGTCAGTGATGACCATCTTTGACATAGTTACTCAATTGAAGTAGGTGATTTTTGTCTCATTTAAAATAGTTTTGAGATATAGAACGATCTCTTTAGTTGACTAAAAATCTGAAAGATGTGAAGGTTCCTGTTCTAGTTTCATACAATTGTTGTTCACTGATATCTGTGTATGCATTAGTATTATCGTGTTTCAAAATAATCAAATTATATGATCTGTCCTTTTTGATATGAAGCACTGTTTCTTGCAGATGTGACTCAACCATTCTACATACATTTACTTTTTAAAGTTTATTTAGCAAATAGCTTGCATCAGTGGTCTTGTCTTGTGCATATAAAGGTGGCTTTTAAAATGTGACGTCTGTATTTTAGATATTGCTATTTGGCCCATTTTTACTTTTCATTATCACAGAATCACAGAACGTTAGGGATTGGAAGGGACCTCAAAAGATCATCCAGTCCAACCCCCCTGCCAAAGCATCAGAAACATCATAAGTCTAATAATAGACTCCTGGATCTACTCATTTTGACCTTATTTTTTTCCATTGAACAAATCACTGATTATTTAATATACAGAGAAATACAACGAGTAGAAATACCTTTAACCAAAGGACTGCTTTGATGTAAAATAGCGTTTTACACGGAAAGATCGTAAGGTCACTGAAGGCAAATATAACACCCGTCGGTGGCTTTGTACATGAAGTGTCTCCACCCACACCCCCCCCCGCCCCGCCGTCATTGCGATCGCTTCTCATGCCCTAAGCAAGCAGCGCGCTGTGCGGCAGAAAAAGGGCAGAAAACGGTTGTGCAGCCGAGAGCCGCTCCGTGCCAGTGCGAGATTTCATGTGTGCTTTCTCTCCGATAAATTTAAATAATTGAAAGCTTGTTTGTTAATTAAGGAAAATCGGTACCCGGCTCCTTTAAAGGTCCCCTAATAGAAAAGGGGGTGGAGAAGAGCGAAGACTGGTGTCTTTTTAACCTTGCTGAAGGACGCAGCAGTATTTATTGACGTATGCAAATAACCAGGGGGAGGAGGTGGAGGAGGAGGAGGGTGCTTGGAAAAACAGGAACCAGAATCGGTTTCTCATTGCAGGGTGAGAGCTCTGAGTTCCGGTGTAAGAGAAAAGAGACGTGGCGAAATTGCTGTATATCTCTGCCCTATAAGCACATCTCTCATTTAGACTGAAGGGAAACAAGGCATCAAAAAGGGTGAAGCATCTTAAAAATTATTTTAAAGGCAACCTAGCACGATCAAAGGTTTAATATTCCTAAAGGGGGGAGGGGGAAGATTACGGGTTTGCCTTCAACTTGCTGTAGCATAGCACTAGCGATAGGACGAGATTTTTGGCCGGCAGATGACTAAAACAGTCTGGTTTGTGGTATGAATGACAACGTTAATAATCTGTCTTTGTGGTTTTTTCCCCTACTGTTTCAGCTGCGCAAACCATGCAGGATGATTTACTGATGGACAAAAGCAAAGCCCAGCCCCAGCAGCAGCGGCAGCAACAGCAGCAAGATCCAAACTCAGCAGAAGCCCCCTCTACGCCCATCTCGTCGGAGACACCCAAACCAGAAGACAACAGTTCAGTGACTAGTATCGGCACATCGGCTCCTTCCCAAAATAGCAAGGAGAAGATGCAAATGGAGTCTCCCATTTTGCCTGGCTTGAGCTTTCACCAGCCTCAACAAGAACCTGCAGCTGGCACCTCCTTGTCTCCTTCCTTCGGCAGCACTTGGTCTACAGGGACCACAAACACGGTGGATGATAGCTTTTTCCAAGGGATTACTCCAGTCAATGGGACAATGCTTTTCCAGAATTTTCCACATCATGTCAACCCTGTATTTGGTGGCACTTTCTCGCCTCAAATTGGCCTAGCTCAGACTCAGCACCACCAACATCAGCAACAGCAGCAGCAGCAAGCTCAGCAGCAGCAGCAGCGGAGGTCACCTGTAAGCCCTAATCAGGCACCTTTTGCTCAGAGAAATGCTGCTTACAGCCATCAGCCCATCATGACCAGCAAACCGTCTTCCTCCTCTGCCTCCTCTTCTTCCTCCTCCAGCTGGAATAACCATCAAAACGCGGCTTGGAGTACACCCTCCAACCCTTGGGGTGGGCTGCAAGCTGGCAGAGACCCTCGAAGGGCAGTTGGAGTAGGGGTTGGTGTGGGAGTGGGTGTCGGCGTACCCTCCCCCCTCAATCCCATTTCACCCCTTAAAAAACCATTCTCCAGCAATGTCATTGCCCCTCCGAAGTTTCCACGGGCTGCACCCTTAACCCCCAAATCCTGGATGGAAGACAACGCATTCAGGACGGACAATGGCAACAATCTGTTGCCTTTTCAGGTAAATTACATGCGCCTTCTACGTGGTGTCAGCTATCACAAAGTTGTATTTTTTGCAGGGGTGTATTTCATGTTACTGTTCTATCTGAGAGGCATCTACATAAGTCATATTTGCATCGAATAATCACCTTATATGAAAGAAGTGGGGTTGATCCTAGGGGTGAATACAGAAAGATTCAAAATTCTGGCTTGAGGTTTACAGTCTTATTTTTCTTGTAACTTATTCTTAAATGTGACGGGGCTTTGTTGTTTTTTTTAATTGTTTTAGGGGTTTTTTTTAGCATCAGAAAGGTTATAGCCTTCCTTCATGAAAAACAGGTTTGGCAGACTATGTTCTCTTGGTGCTGTGTGTTATAATTTTTTTTCCCCATACTCTGGCATATATGAGAAACAGGAGATGTTAAAATTGTTGGCATGTTAATTTTAACTAGACTTGCTTCTTGACCTGAAAGCTGGTTAATTATCACCACTGAAGTAACTAATTGTCCTTATGTTGTGGTGAGGTTTAATGGAGAGTCTGTTCGCATAAGGTACGCATATGAAAAGCGGTATATATTTGATATGTACACCCCGCTGTTATATTCACAGTGGACGTTTTGAATACATCTAGAAGCAGCGTGGGTGTGTATGGAAAGAGACGTTTCTGTCCTTTCCAGTAAGGAAATGCCTAATACAATTGACGTGATTTAGAAATGGCAGGGAGGTATTGTATAAAATAAACCATTTTCTGCTGTTCAAAATATTTGCAGAGAAAAGAGACAATAGGACACGACCTTCAGAGCCATATTGCAATGGAGTCTATTTACTAGCTACATAGCTCTGAAATATTTAAAGCTGCAGTGCCTTTCACTGTTTTTTTTATCTATGACGACAAAGCAGATCAATTGCAGCTGAAACTGGGCCACATAGAAGATTTGCAATTTTAATGCAGAATGAAACCTGTCATGGTGTGAAATCCATTTTAAGTTGAAAAAAGCAGAGCATGCACTTGCAGTTATATCTATAGGTGAAGTGAATCTCAAATTCCTTTTAGTTTAGCTTTTTTAGTTTTAGGCAACTCAAAATTTTCCTGTTTCAAAATACAGTGAAATCTTTCATATATGCTTTGTCTTTAGGTGATCGCTTTCTCAACAAAGTATGAACTCAAACATTTTTAACTTATCAGTATGGTAAGAGTAGCATCTATAGATTGACAGTATTAGAAACTGAGTAAAAAAATCAGCCCTCCCACCACCCATGACTTTAAGAGATTGTTGAAGTAAAATATGTGCATTCCTGTGCACTTTCCAGTCCCATTCAAAGAGGGCACCTTATAGTCAGCCCTGAAATTTCATTTTGCTGCTTCATTCTGTTTAAAGGGAGAGTTGCTCATTTTTTATTGGCTACCCTCAATGAAGGCGGAGTGGCTTCTGCTGAACTGCTGGTCAATGTCTCTGTAGCACTGAAGTCTTCAGAAAGATTGTACTTTAGACACAGTATGCCTGCTGAAAGTACTATGTTGCACAAGCATAGCAACACAAAAGCTAATGAATATAGCTCCCAGTCATTTTTCAGGAGTAGGAAATGTGTTTCAATTTACAATTATTCTTTTATTTAAATTTTCTACATGTAAGATATTACAAATTCTGGTGAATTTTGATTAGTAGGGAAGACAACAGTAAATGATCTTATTTCTGTGGTTTGGTCAGTGAGAAACATCTTTAATGAATACACAGCTTTATTATTTGGGCTGTAAACTGTCACAAATTAAACTATAGCAGGTATTTAGTCAACACGAGGAAAAGAAAGTAGAGATATGTTTTTAAAGCAAAGTTACTTTTTGGTTTTAAAATTAAGGTTTTGAAAAGATAAGATATTATCCAATATGTAAATTTGGAAACTTGGGGTTTTTTCTCTGTGAATTTAACCTGGTATTTTCCTGTTCAACTGAAAGCAAATACTTAGACTGCTCTCAGCACCAGCTGGAATAACAGTCTGATTTCAGAGGCTCAGAAAACTTGTAATTTTCTTACTATTAGGCTCTTTTTAATACAAGCTGCTGAATTTTACATACAAGATTGTAATTTCTGTTTTTTATTGATTGCTCTTACATTTACCAAACTGACAAAGAAGTCTTGAAACAATACTATCAATAGGAGGCAACTGTTTAAATACATCTGTAAAAATGATATTCAAATTCATATGAGTTTAATATTTGCTGCTCAAGCTTGTGTTGCCTTTTTTCTTTCACCCCCCCCCTTTTCTTCCTCCCCTCTGAAATTGGGCAATATGTTGACACAGTTAGTTCTGCTTGTCAGCACTATCAAGTAATTCTGGCAGATTTATCCATGTACATCTGCCACCCTTCATAACTGAGCATTTTTGTTCTGCTTCGGAAATGTCTTTCAGTAAACTTGCTAGCAACACATTAATGCACGTTAGCAAGTTCTTTGTGCTAACCTGTTATTTTCTCATATGTTGAGATTATAAGACTTTTTAAAATTTGTGGTTTATATTTATTTAATTCCTTGATAAGATATGAAGCTCAAGTTATTCTAACTAAAAAGAAAAATATTAGTATGCTCACCGGTTAAATTAACATCAGTGATACCTGTTTTTTAATTGAGGTCTTCGCAGTGATCAAAAATTTTAAGCAGAATACTTCTATTGTCTAGGTTTGTGTTCTGCGTCTGTGATATTTGAAGGCACCTGATACTCAGCTACTGATACATGTAGTTCTAGAAAAAAAATGTTGACTTTGGAAATTTTTCTCTTAAGAACAGGCACGTGAAGTAATATGCTAGATGCCTTCATCCCCAAACTTGAGTAATACATTAGCGTACTTTGTATGTCAAAACCAATCAGCATCTGTCCCGAAGAGTTGTGTTGCAGAACATTTAAAATGTCAATTGATAGACATTCTCTTGGCATCTGCCTTGAGATTAGTGTTGAAAGGCAACTAAAAATGCTTTGGAGGAGACTGTTTTCATGTAGTTGCTGAGGAAAATTTACTGCACTCTATAAAAACTAAAAGATACAAAGCCGATAGTTAAAATGGAAAAGAAAAGAAGCAGTTGGTCTGGAATGAAATACAATGTAGCAACTAAGAGTTGGAGATAAGATCACAGGAATAGATGTGGAACAAGGCCAGATATGAAATGCAGAAATGTGGCCAGCCTGTTCTGAATATTCTTTGGCTTCTGAGTGGTTCAGGTGAAGGTGCTCTGCTGAGATTGTCATGTGCTGTGCCACTCTGCTGGGCGATCCTCATTTCTGGCGTTCGAGGCTGACAGTAAGTGATTGTTCCTGGGACCTGGGCAATGGTTCAGTTCCTTTCTACAGCAGAGTGGTGGGGCTTGAAGAGAGCTATTGTCATCTCGTGCTTTTGAGCTGCTCCCAGAATTCTCTTTTCCTTCACTTCTTTCAGGTAAACAGTGTATTTCTTTTGGCTTTTGGCCATATGAAGATACTGGGACACAGCTTGTGGGGTTAGGAGGATTGATAGTGCCTGAAATAGACCCTTAGAAGCGTGGCTAAGAAATTTTTTTTACAGTGGAGAAGATAGAGAAGAAATTAAAATGTTTGGAGACCAGTATGGTAATTAAGCAATTCTACTGTGTGGATTTTTAATAATAACAACACTATTACAATTTCCCAGAAATTCTTCAGGTTTTGCTGCTTTCTGAGTAATGTTCTTTAGAAACAGTAAAAAAATGTGCAATTGCAAGTTTTAGATTTAAAAAATGCATAGCAATTTGGTGCTTGGAAGATTCTGACATACATCAAGTCATTCTTGGCAGCTTTACTGATAAATAATTCTCTAGCAGAAATAAATAAGGTGGTATTTATCATGGATAAATATAGTTTTAACATGCTATCTTTTGTAAGGAGACTGAGAAATGTTTTTTGGAGGAGGTGTTTTGGTGTTTGTTTTTATCCTCATTGATTCAATAGGAATTAGTCTGGGCCCAGGTAAAATTATAAGCTAAATTTAGAAATTATATATAATTTCACTATTTCCTACTTAAATCCAAACATGTGCATGTTTGTGTATAAATACAAGTATATATGCATAAATAGATATACTATACATTTAGATATAGACACGCTAATTAGCAACACGTTAGCAGACACAAGTACTTTGTCGTGTGTTGTACTAAACGCACTGAAGTTGTTTGTTGAGTGAAATGAAGGATAAGAGAATGGCCACTGCAGAATGTTTATAATTCCCGTGTTTTGGTTGATGATTAATAGACAGCTCCTTAAGGAGCTGCTTTCTTTAAACATTTGAAGTTTTTTAGGCCTGTGATATTCGTCCATACTTAGCTTTTTCCGTGCTTATCCAGATTGATACTCAAAATAAATTATGCACATACACACACACACATATAAATATATACATGCATATGCAATAAACTAATGCAGAATAAATTTTGCTTTCAAGTCCTAGGGTAAATAATAATTAATACAGTATTATCTTCAACTTTATAATGTGCTAGCTTCTTCATGGGCAGTGAACTCCATATATAGGCAGGGCTTCCTTAAGGACATTAAAGGTATTCATATAGAAAAATGAATCAATAATTTTGTCTTAAAGATTTGATGAACAGATTATGTCTGTCATTTGGGAGAGAAGGTGGAAAGGAAGGTGAAGGGCATGGCCATTTAGTCAGCTGTTATTTGAATCATCCCTATTTTTTAAATTTTTTTTTTTTGTCTGGAGGCTGCTCTTGTGAATTAAATGTAAGAGTAAGAAAGACCTGGAAAAGTAATGTTTTTCTGATCCAGGTGATTTTCAAGAAGAAAATATGAATTTGCTGAGTGGATGATCAGCATTTCCGTTTCTTAGCAGTTGGTGAAATAGCTCTCCTTTCATTAAGGTCACTCATGAGTGATTCCTGTAACTGAAGCATACCAAAGGGAAGCTAAAAGATAGCACTGCTTAGTTTGAAGTTACATCGTGATCTCCAACTGTATTCATGTGAATTTAGTTTGGACTGGGTAGACTACTGTGCTTTCAAA